CCAGGACGACCTGCGTCGGGTGACGCTGGAGGTGGTGGGCCGCTACTTGCGCGAGGCGGCCGACGAAGGGGCCAAAGGGGAAGGCGGTGGCGGCGGCGCCCCCAAGTTCTCCCTGCAGGGCCTGATGAGCCGCCTGGGGACCACCCAGGGCGAGGCGGCGGGCGCCACCCGGGCCCTGGAGACGCTCCGGCGGGGGGGCGACGGCATCCTTGAGAAGCACCAGCTGGCTTTCCAAGGTAAAGGAGGAGGAGGAGAGGAAGAGGGAGAGGAGGGAAAGGGAGGGGGGCCCGGCGGCGGCATTTGCCCCCTCCCCTTAAAATCCAGACGAGACGGGGGTTGGAGAGGAGCTGCTCGCCTCAAGCAGGAAACCTTCCCCCTCCGCCGGAATTAATGAGTCAGGTTCCTGAGGCGAAAGAGGAAGGGAAAAGATACGGGTGGGGAGGAACAGGCCTCCCTCGCCGGCTGTCGGTTTGCAGGCCGCCTTTCTCCTCACAGGGGGACCCAGGGCGGCACACGACAGATCAAAGGCTGGAGAAACGCCGTATTTTAAAAAAGGAACTAAAGCGAGAGCAAGAATGTAAAGCATTTTTATCGGTTGGCTCTTCCTTATGGCCCTTTGGCGCGCAGTCAAGTGAGGGGCGGAAGCCCTCAGGGTGGGAAAGGGCAATATCAATAAGTACAGGGAACGGATGTGGAAAGAGTTAAGACATCCTTCTGCCCCCCTCTTAGGAAGAGGGGAGGTTGGGGGTGTTTGAAAAATCACATCCTCCTCCTCTCTTTCCTTGGGTGAGAAACTGCGTGGGTGGAGAAGTGAGGAGGGGGGAGGAGAGGAAGTGTGTGGGTGGGTGGAGGGGGGGCGGCTTGAGGGGAGAGGGAAGGAACTTGAGAAGGGAAGTAAGTGGCTGTGAGGGTTTTTCTGCTCCAGGGAGCTAACAGCCCCTTTGAAGCCATTTGATCCCCTTTCGGCTGGGACAGAGGGTCCTTTGTCCCTTGCCAAGCAACAGACCCCGGGATTCCTTTGGCCCCCGGGATCAGGGCAGCGAAGGCAAGCCGGGATCCCAGGGCTGGAAGTGGGTGCTGGAGTACATGTCCCTCATTGTGTGTGTGTGGGGGGGAAGCCCCTGGATGATGCATGAATTGGAGAGGGAAGAAAATAAGAGCTGGGGAATGGAACCAAAGCGAGCAGAGGGGTTGGCAGGAAGTGGGGAGGCAAGGGAATAAGTTGGCTGTCTGAGGGGAGGAAAGGCAGTGGAGGGGCCGAGAGGGACTATGACTGTGGGTGGTGAGTGATTGATAGGTTGTCCTCTGTTGGAGGTTGTCCCACGCTGGGCCTGGTTGATCACCCCCTTCTTGACCTGGGGCTCTTCTTGAGGGGAGGTCCTGTTGATGTGACCACCCTGGTAGCCAGAAGTGTTGACTGCCTCCTCCCTTTTTCTTCTTCCACAGGAGGGTGGTGGAAAACACCGAGCTTAGCAGAAACGAAACTGAACTTTGTACTCTAGATAGTGGGGGAGGAGGAAAAAACCCTTTCATGTAGAAAATCTAATCGGGTTAGAGATAAGGTTTAGCCCATATTCACATCCTGCTCTGCACTAGCAGGTGAAAAATAGCTCACTGTAAACACTGTGATAAAAGATTTAGTGGCTATATATGAGTAGGATTCTTCTGTAGAACAGGCTTGTTATTTGCTAGCTATTTGCCTTAGTATCTTATTCTTTTTTAAATAAGAGTTACAGAATATCTTTTTTTTAAAAAGCCCTACAATAGTTTGAACAGTCTTGGCACATTAATCATGGACATCCCTGGTTTTCTACCTTTTTTTTCAGGGGATAGTAGTTATCATTTCCTGTCAACCATATGGCTGAACTCAAGACTTGCTAAGACAAAAGTTTCTGAAATGTGGAAAAGTGTTTTTTTCCCCATATAATGTATCTTCTCTCTTGAAGGTATTAGGACATGGACTTTTTAGAGGATGCTGTTTGTTTCTAGTATAATAAGAAATTAGTATTTGGTTCACTCCGTTCCATGGAAGCAAATTTTCATAGGTAAATATTGACTGGTTGGCTTCAAACCTTATGAATAACAGCCTTGCACAGATGGAATAACAAAGCTGGTTTGAGGAAACTGCCATATATGAATTCTGAGTTCCCTGTTCCTGGATGTAACTTCCTTTTTATTTTTGAATTGCTACTCAGTTTTTTAAGTACCCAGAGTTTTTTGCTCAGCACAGAACTGATCAATCCTGTTAACTTCTGGGATCAAATCTGTATTTAGCAATGCCAGAATTTCTGTTTGAAAAAGACAGTGGTGTTTGTTACAGCTGTGTTGGTTGGCGGGTACACTTGTTCCTCTCCCATGGTCTGTGGTCCTGTAGTGCTTGCTGAAAGTGTACATCATCCTTTCTTATTCAGGAATGCTTAGAAAAATGGAAATCAAGAAAGAAGAGGACCTGAAGACTATGTCAGAAGTGGCAACAGAAGTTTTCAGAGATGGCATAATAAACTGGGGGCGCATTGTGACACTCATCTCTTTTGGTGCGTTTGTTGCCAAACATCTGAAGAGCATAAATCAAGAGAGCAGCATCAATACCTTGACCGAGATCATCACTGATGTGCTGGTGACGGAGAAAAGAGAATGGCTAGTCTCTCATAACGCCTGGGTAAGTGTCCTTTGATGCTTGCAGCTGATCCTCTAAATTCTAAACGAATGTCTCAGAAGTGCCATAGATTTTATAGGGAGTTGGCAAGCGGGGGAGTGCTTGGAAAGGCAGGTTAAAGGACCTATTTAAAATTGCGTTAAGTGAGCAGAACTGTATAAAGCTTCAGAGGAGTCACCCATTTTACTAAGGAGAAATATGTGAACAACTGGGCCTTGAGATGTGTGGGGATGTTAGATAATGTGATGCTCTCAGGTTGGTTTCCCACAAAGGAATAAAAATGTGTGCCGAGTCACTGAAGTGAAGGTGAGGAGAGGTGTCCAGCAGAGGTCTATGTAAAATGTGCTTATTACATTCTTTGTCTTTACATGGTTCGTTCTTGCTTGCTTTGAATTTTCTCAAGCTGTCTGGAACACCCTTGGCACAGCAGGCACACGAAAGCCATTAACCATTCAATTTTTTCTTCTAGGAGGGGTTTGTTAAATTCTTCCATGTAGAGGACATAGAAGGCGGCATCAGAAGCGTTCTGATGACTTTTGCAGGCGTTGCTGGACTAGGAGCGGGTTTGGCATACATGATCCGGTGAGCTCAAGGATGCTCCCAGGGTGGAGCTAACTTGGAATTCCTGTTCCTGCCACAACTAGAAAACTGAGCTGTTCTTTGACAGTTGATGGGAGAAGCAACACCTGGCAATCCCATGGAAGGTTTGATGTGACCTCTCAGTTCTAGCATTGTACCCAACACGGATGTATTGCAGACAGGAGTAAATTTGTCCAGTGAAGAGATGTGCGCTCTGCTTCCACAAGAAGCAACGTGACGAAAACCTAAAAGTGGACTGAACCCTGCCCACTGCAGTTTTGCTCCTGGACTGACTTGCAGCTGCCTTGGGCCTGGTGCAAGAACTGCTGGATGTATTGGGTAGTGTTCTGTTCGTGCTGGTCTGTGCTTGTCGGCCAGATGGTGTCTAACTTTCCATCTTTTGTTAGGGCTGAAGGCTTAACCATGCTTTGTGCAATGTGCACATAAGGACCTTCAGGTAAACACTGCAGAGGCCTTTAACTGTTGGTTGGTACCAATGTGTGCCAGTTCTTCACAATGAAAACCTTTGAGAATCTAACCAGCTCCTTTGTATCCTTCCCAAGGTTTGACCTGTTGTATGTGTGCCCCCTTCAGTTCTGTTTGTTGTCTTGTCTCTTTGAAAGCATACACTGCCATACTTCCCAAGATGACATGCAGCTACACAAATGTGCATCATGGCCTATAAATATGTATACAATTCCTCAAGGAAGCTAATTGAAATGATGTAAATAAATGTCTAAGAATGTACACTTTGTACAATTTCAAAGAGGTTTATCTTTCAGAAAAGCTGTAAAGTTTTTTTTAATATGATCAGAGTCAAGATTTGCATCCTTTTGTCCTGATTAAAAGACATACTCTATCTTGGCCTTTTGGAAAGTTATAATTTGTACGCACATGTAACAACTTCTTGGCTCAAGGAAGTGATTACACTGTATTGATCAGTTGACTGTGTTGACACCTTTAAAATAAATGTGTTTCCTCTGAATGGGAAAAGGGGGACATACTGAATGTTTAGGGTTTTTTTTACCTTCATGTTTTATTTTGACTCTTCATTATAGTTTTTAAAGTCAAATTTTAAAGCTGAATGTGCAGATGACTGTCATGCTTCTTTTCACTAATAACAAGACTCCATGAGATAGCAGTGTAAAGTCCCATCTCAGAAGGGAGAATTTGAGATTGGCTTGTAGATTTGCATTTCTTGATCTCTGTTATTAGGCGGATAGCTTCAGATTTAGAAGCAGGAGCGCTCAGTTTTGTAGTTGGACTAGATTGCTTTTAGGCTTCACTGTACCATTAGCTTGGTTTAGACCAAATTATGGCAGATGCGAACATCTAAAAAAACAGGGCTTGGAATAAAAGGGTGCTACTGTCAGACCTGCTTGTTTACATAAACCAGCTAATAAAACAATTAATAGGTGTCGTGTGTGGCTTCTGTTGAGGCAAAAGAAACCCTGAAATCTGAGCAAAAAGTCATATTTGCATCTTGTCTTGTCTCTGGCCCAGTTATTATCAGCTGACCCCATTCCTTTGATCTTTTTATCCGTTGCTAGTAAAACTTTACAGTTGGTGTGGACATGCTTCAGACTGGCTTGTTTGTCTTAAAAGGAAAGCAGATTGGCTGCTGGAATACGATGAAACCAAAAGGCTGTTCAGCCACAAGAAGGAGTTTGTGCATGATGATGGAACTCTGGTACCTGTGTAATTAAACATATTGGTGGATTTCCTTTCCCATCAGCCCCAGCCAGCATAGTCAATAGTCAGGGAATGATGGTACTAAAATTTGGAGACACACAGGTTCCCTACTCTGCCTTGTACTCTTCAGCATAGGATTGCCACGTTGCATTATTTGCACCTTGTAGATCAAGATCCATGTGCCCTTCTTAGATCAGTTGTGCTAGTTCCATGTGAAGCGGTTCCCCTGCTTCCCTTTGCTTGTAAACCACATGTTAGGGGGGAAGGGAGAGTATACTGTGAAGGAGCATCCACAATGCAATGTATTAAAAGGAATCCTGGCATGGCTATCGAGTGTTTTGCTCAGGGTTAGGTAGATCTGTTGGCTGTGACTTAAAAGTATGGAAGCATTTCCAAGGTGTCTTTGAAAGTCCTGCCTTTATTTAGGGCACAGTCTGGCATTTTATGCAAAGCTTTGCTCTGGAAATATGCAAACTCACTTTTGCAGGGTCCTGTTTCTGAGTCATTGTACACTGTATCAAAAGTGGTTTCATGGTTAGTCCAAGCCTAGCAAACTTCTGGGATGGTTTTTGTCTTGGGAGTCTGAGTCAAGTGAAAAGAGACCAGCTGCAGATGAGTATGAAGCTGGAATCCTTTTGCTTAATTAACTGTTTGAAGCATTTTGTTGATCTGTGTTCCTTTTGCTACCTTACACTTGACAACTGCTGGTGGAGTCTCTTGCTTTAATTGTTTCTGGAGTCTACTCAGAAAAATGGTTCGAAGAGGCACAATTCTACCAGTGATTTTAGATCAGCCTTTTCCCAACCTGTTACTCTTTGCATGTAATCTGTCCTTGCTGTTTTTTAATTTTAATTTTTGAAGTACTTTAATCCCATCAGCACCCAATTTCCTGCTCACGATCAGCCTTTTCCCAACCTGTTACTCTGCATGTAATCTGTCCATGCTGTATTTTAATTTTTGAAGTACTGTAATCCCATCAGCACCCAATTTCCTGCTCATCTTTCTAAGCCCTGTCTATATAGAGTTTCTTTTAAAAGAGGATTTATGGCTGATAGATCTCCAGATTTACCCCAACACAGCTCATGTGTCACCTGCTGTGCAGGTGTCATCTGAATCTTTAGATGCTTAATACCTCAGGTGAATGTACTTTTTCACTGTGGGTAGACCTCAGCAATTAATGCACAAAACTCATTCAGCTTCCTGTTCATGACCATCCGCAGGAAGAATTATAATGTGGTTCAGCACTCAAGCCAACAAGTCAGCCCACCTACTCCCAGATTGTTTTGATATACAGTCTTGAATATTTATCATTGTGTGGTGTGTTTGCATTTTAATCACTTAACAAGCCTCTTATGTTAAGAGGAATGGGTTATTTTTAAAAAATTCTCTGTTTATGACTAAGAAGAGGAAATTGCATTTACTTTCATGATTTTGAGTGATTTATTGGGGAATTCCTAGTTTCCCAAAGCAACTCATGTTTTTTTTTCCAGATCCCACCCTTGATTGTCCTCTGGTCCAATTTAACATGCTGTAGTTTCACTGTCCTCAAAGATGAGTCTTTATGCAACTGAACAAACCTTATTCAATATTGCAATAAACAGAGCTGTTTTGGAAATTGGTGTGGACGTGGAGCTCCCACTTGCTGTTGACTCTTCAAAGTGAAGACAAAAGGCTGTGTGTTTTCTTTAATGAAGGGGGAAACATGCACGTAAGAGTTATCCCCACAGGAAACAAACATGGATCTTTGCAATCTTTTTGACCTATGATTTCAATCCTTACAAATTTAGCCTTTGGTTATGCTGGTAATAAATACACTGTGTCCATATGAACAAAAACAAACTGCATGATTTAACTGCTTTCCTTGCTATTCACATTTTTCTGCCCATCCACGAGGGATGTAGGTGTCTCTTGGAAGTTCAAGACATTTTCAATTCTGGAATTTTCTCTTTTTTTTTTCCCAGGTTCTTAAAAATCTAGTGAATGATACAGTGGGGGCTAAAGTTTGTGCCATGCTCTATATGCAAGAGGCCTAAGCATTATTATGATGGATATGACCAAGATTGGGGATTTTATGTTTGCCTTTGTTAAATACTAGAAACCCAGTACGGTACATTCTTCTGCTGGTGAGGTAGCTTTCTGTGATGGTACACTGTTCGGCTGCATCTGGTTCAACTTCTTGTAGGTGGGATAACTTAGCTGTGGAATTGGAGAATAGCACTCCAGCACAGAGATAATGGTGTTTGCCACAAATCAAGTAAACATTTTTTCCCCTAGGCGGTAGATGCCTCCCACGTTGATACTGCTTCTGTTTGTTCTCTAGGATGAAAGGAAGTAATGCTTTACCCAGAGCCATAGAATATCATACCCCTAATAATCTTATTCATCAACACTTGAATTCTCCAGTTTCACCTGGCCTCTCCTCTACTACAACTTTTCACCATATATTTGTAGCCATCATGATATAGCTATCCTAAGAAGTTTGAAATAGGAATAAATCTTGAGACCTTACTCAAGCTTATTCAAGAGAAAATCAGGATACTGAGTCTTTGAAATCTTAATGGCTCTACAAAGAGCTGCCCCTTGTGGTCTTGCCTCGGGATTCTTGCACCTCTTGTTGATTCTTTTCCAAGCTTTGGGCGAGTGTTTGTTTTTGCCTCCCTTGTTCTGGGATCTAGCTGAATTGTATAGGATCCAGCATTTTCCACAGACATTTGGTACAGCTGTGGGTTTTTTTTAACTTTCTGTTCCAAAAGCCAGACCTAAAACTTTCTGAACATTAACACCATTCCTCGCTGCTGAAGTCATTGCTGTGGCTTTTCCTGTCATGAGGGGCCTTACCAATAAATACTGTAAATGAAAGGAAAGCTTTTATCCAAGAAAAAGGATTCTGTGAGAGTTTTTTAGGGGCTGCCTGAGAAAGCAAAGAACATCTTTATGGGAAGTACATTCCCCTCCAGGGAGTTTTTGGCCTCTTTAGGCCACTTCCCTTAATTACATGGTGTTGGGAAATCATGCCAGCAGTCTCACCATCCAGAGCATCATTACCTGTGCTACAAAGAAAATGTATACCTTTTTGGGGCGGGAGGGGCTTAAGCTGGACCCCTGCTTTATTCTCCTGCCTCACTAATGGGTGAAGTGTGGCCCTTGCTTGCCCCCTCCAGTTTTTATGGTGACAAGTAAATTGTGTCTCTCAGAAACTTCCAAGAATTGTCATTCATCTTTTCAAGGGGTGAAAGCCTCGCCTGCATTGTTTTAATACCCAGAACACTCATTTTGAGAAAACAGGAAGCGAATGCCTTGCCTCTCCTGCCTCTTTCATTTTCTGCCTCTTCTTTTTTTGCCAGTCTCTGTTGTTCCCCCCAAAGGCTGCAGGTGCAGAAGATTGTCTCCTGAAACCCTGCAAAGTTGCCACTTCTGTTCTGGAGCTTATTTGTAATGTGTCTTAGAATTGAAAGCTAGAACAGACCAATGGCCTTCGCAGTTAAGCCTCTGCTTCCGGTTACAGTCAGTCAGAGGCTTCATAAACGACCAGGGAGTTCCATGACATACTCTCTTGATGTGGCTTTTCCCTTCCCAGATGACAACGAAAAGGGGGAAGAGATCTGCCACATCACCCCAAATGTTCATCCTGCTCTTCCCCCAGGTAACCAGCCATAAACCCTACTGGCATGGCTAAAGACAAATGCCTTTTCCCATTGTTCCTGGCATTGTCTTTCAGGAGTTGTGGCTAGTTGGCAGTGGATAAATTGCAGATTTTTCACTATTGTGCCTGGTCTTTTGCAAAACTTTGCCTCTCCTTGTAGTGCATGGCATTGCATTCCTCACCTTTAAAAGCTAATGCTGCATTATAAGGCACCTAATAATAACCTGGTTGCTTGGGCGAGGGGGAGGAGAGCAGGCTGCCATTTGTACCTCAAGTGTGCTCCTGTGTTAAGCTCTGTTGCCTTGGTGATGATATTCATAAGCTTGAAAGCAAGACTGAAAGTTGCACATTTGTCTTTTTGTGGAAAGCACCCTGGGTGGTCAGCCTTGTCCGACGTGGTGCCCTTGTTCAAGAGGCATTCACCCATCCCAACCCAGGGTCAGACTGGTGTGGAGGGTGATGGGACATGTAGTCCAGCAAACTGCCTTGGCAGCAGGAGGAGAGGAGGTTTCACAAGGCAGCCATTGTGAGAGGCCTCCTTAGTGCCCTTGAGGGGATCTGTGCTCTTGAGATGCCCCATGTTTTCCCAGCATTATACGCCGTGGAACCTCCGGAGCCCATACTCTTTGCCCTGGAACCATGCCTGCTTCCGTCGAATGACCAAGCTTCCCTGTGGCCT